TCGAAATTATTCAAAGCCCATTTCTGCCAAATAAGAAAAAAATCATGCTTTGGGAGTATGATTCATGAGAGAATCATAAAATCTGAAATTATGAGATAAAATGTCATAATTATGGCATAAAAGTCAAACTTATAACAAAGTCGAAATTATGAGATTAAAAAGTCATAATTATGAGATACATTGAATCATAATAAAAACTGAAGTCAAAATTATGAGATTGCCCCAAAAAGTCATAATAGAACGTTACAATTATGACATACTAAGTCATAATTATGAGATTAAAAGTTGAAATGAGATTATAAATTGACCAAAAAAAAATATCTTATAAAAAGTGGAAAAATGGAAATGATGAGCTAAAACATCATAATAATTACAATATTATGTAACAATATCTAATGTATGTAATAATTGATTATTACATAACAATTAAACATTTTGACTATTTATGTCATTATTTTGACTTAAAAAAAAAAAAAGGTTTCAATATTCCAATATTCCTGTCATGCTGTGCCTGTCTGTGTGGACTTTTAGTTTGTAGTTTTGTGTAGTTCCTGTTTCTAGTTCCCTTGTTATAAATTACTCCTGGTACATGGTAAGGTATATATTTACATTTGCGTATAATAGTTTTAGAATCGGCCATTTAAAAAACCATGTTTGTTGACTACTGATCTGAATAAGGAGTAATATGATTTCTGTACAGCTCAACAATAATTTTAAACAGAAATTAAGAAAGACTGTACTACTGTATGTGAGCCTGGAGCACAAAAGCAGTCTTAAATCGCTGGGGTATATTTGTAGCAATAGCCAACAATACATTGTATGGGTCAAAATTATACATTTTTCTTTTATGCCAAAATCATTAGGATATTAAGTAAAGATCATGCTCCATGAAGATATTTTGTAAATTTCCTACCGTAAATATATCAAAACTTAATTTTTGATTAGTAATATGCATTGCTAAGAACTTCATTTGAACAACTTTAAAGATGATTTTCTCATTTTTTTTATTTTTTTGCACCCTCAGATTCCAGATTTTCAAATAGTTGTATCTCATCCAAATATTGTCCTATCCTAACAAACCATACATCAATGGAAAGCTATTCATTCAGCTTTCAGATGATGTATAAATCTCAATTTCGGAAAATTGACCCTTATGACTGGTTTTGGGGTCCAGGGTCACATATTGTGACATTTCTGAACAAGAAAAATAAACAGCAAAGCTTGATTTTAGCCATCGGTTGTTGACTGCACTTGCTGTACCGTATCTGTTTGTGAATCAGAAGAATGGAAATAAACAGGAGAGAGGACATACAGTCAGTCAGACAGAAGTAGAGCAGTATTAACGGCTGAGCTAAGGTTTTTGAATAGGTGTGCTGGCAGACACTTGTCTGGTTCTGACTGTGTTTGGGAGGTCATTCCATTATTGGACGGCAATGACAGAAGCTCTTGGATCTGGACTGGTGAGCTGCTTGCATTTGGACAGTAAACTGAGCTGGATGGAGGCTCCAAGCTGCCCACAGCAACTGGGCTCAGCTTCTCCACTGGACTTCGACTTATATTAGCAATATTTACATTATTGCAACATTAACATTAAGAATGCTGAATGAAAAGCTTTATAGTGTATGTTTAAGTACACACAAAAGCCTTGTGGGCAGAACTCTGACATTTATATCGATCTGTTCAGGAGACTCAATCCTGTTACTCGCTCCCCTCCCCACCGTTAACAGTATTGTCTTATATAAAGGCATACAAATATATATCTAACAATTAGAGGTCATACCTTAAAAACCAAAACACATATTTATTAACTAGTAATCTGAATGATGCTCCCGTCATCTTAAAATATAAATATATTTTTTTGTAATATATATTGATATTTTAAGATGACAGGAGCATCTTATTGGCCTTTTATTTATGGTAGTAATGAAAATGTAGTTAATGTATTAAGGCGAAAAAGCCAAAGAAACACACAAAATTATACGATTTTTATAAAGAATTCTCTTCTGCTCACCAAGCCTGCATTTGTTTGATCCAAAATACAGCAAAAACAGTAATATTGTGAAATATTGTTACTATTTAAAATAACTGCTTTCTGTTTGAATATATTTTAAACTGTAATTTATTTCTGTGATGCGCAGCTGTATTTTCAGCATCATTACTCCAGTCTTCAGTGTCACATGATCTTCAGAAATCATTCTAATATGCTGATTTACTGCTCAACAAACATTTATTATTATTATTAATATTATTAATATTTAAAACAGTTGAGTACATTTTTTTCAGGATTCTTTGATGAATAGAAAGATCCAAAGATATAAATATTAATACTTTTTTTTTTTTTTACTACATTTGATCTTAACCAAAACCTTTCAGGCGTTATTTTCATAAAAGGCCAAAACAAATTACATAACATAACATAAACATCTAATATAAATACATATTATATTAAATATTAATATATACTATATTGTTTTCACTACGCTTAAATGGCTTAAATGTGCACAGAACATTTTAACCAAAATCTTCCAGGTATTTAAAATATTTAAAGAACATTTATTTTGGTATTTTGGAATTAGTGATATTGGATCAAGTGCAGATGTTCAAAAATAGGGCTGGATGGTATATTCACAATGATTTAGTTGGTGATATGACATTAAGCAAAATCATAAATATCATAATGTTTTTAATGCACTTTTAATTTTCTTTATATATATATATATATATATATATATATGGTTGTTTTCTGTTTCCTCTCATTGTATGAATCAGCCCTTTTAAGGCATTTCAGGGCAAATACATAATTGTTGAGATACAATATTTAATTTGACCAAAAAGTTGCTTTTTTCCCCACCATATCATCCAGAATGAGTCCATGAATACGCTTCTACATGTGTTCTTACTCATGAGTTTATCTGTGAATCTTCCCTTTCTGACTGAAGGAACAGACAGGAGGTCTGAGAGCGGTTTGAACCCTCAGCCGTTCAGTGGTCTCACGCTGTGTTTGGACAGCATGGCTCCGTCCAGTGAGTTAACATGAAGACAGACCCGCCGGCTGCTTGCTGAGACGCACGCGTGTCGAGTCTGTGAGCTCTCGGGCTCCGACCTCCTGCTCAAAGCACAAAGACAGACGCTCTTCCCTCAAATCAGATGAAGCTCCACGTTTGTAGATTGTATTGAGCTGTCTGTGACACTGTGCCCTGTATCTGCCCCCAGCGCCCAGGGCAGCTTTGATTACTCTTACCATCCGCCTCTCAGGGGATTGAGGGGTGTTTTCATCGCAGGCTCTGTTCCAAAACCATGTGTGCTGCCTACAAAGACAGCATTCTAAGGCATAATATGTACACTTCCAAAGCTGTTCCACAAGACAGGCAGCAACACTATCCTGTCTTATAAGATACCTTAATTTGACTAAATTTGAACGCAAGATACATGCATCCTTCATCTTTATTGGCTTTGATGGTTCCATGAAAAACCAAAGCATCCATGGAACCTTTCTAAGGTTCTTTATAGAGAGGAAAAAGGCTCTTTAGATTTTTTAAATATTTTTCACACTAACAAAAAAATGTGTTCTTTTTAAAATCCATTCACTGAATGGTTCTTTAAATAGGGAGCCCGAAATGATTCCTATATGGCATCACTGCCCAAAACAAAAAAGGACCTTTATTTTTAAGAGCGTTTGTGGAAAAGTCCATTATAATGCATTGTGGTTGTAAATTATAATGCAACTCCATAAAAAAACAAAAAAAGTTTATTTTAAATATGCTTAAAAATCAGTCAATCAAAAAGTATCAAAAGTAGTCCAATGTTTAAAAAAAAAACAAAATTTTACCCAATGTTTGTGTATTTTTATGCCTATTACAGCTCTGAAATCAATACACTCAGTGAATAAACTCAGTTTTGGAACAGAATGAACAGCATTCAGATTAGTTAATAAATATGTTTTTAAGGTATCACCTCCAATTGTTATATATGTTATATAGTTATATATGTATTTAATGATGTAGGTATTTGATCATGGACAGACATTCAAAGGTCACAGCTTCCTGAGAATTACCCTTATGTCGGAATTGTATTTTAACTTCCTTTTTTTTTTTTTTTTTTTACGTAAAATACATTTGTCAGGAGAACAATATACATGAAAGTATATTTATAACCTACATTTATTTATTTTGACTTCGGCCCATCTTATTGACATTACCAAGGACGAATGTGTGAGAGATTTATTCCAGCATTCATGTCTGATCTCCTCTCATGTCCGTCAACATGAACTCAACATCATCTGCTCGTCCAATCAAATTACTCCGATTTCTAGTTTCCTCGCTGTCTCTCTGCTTCGTCCTGAAAGTCAGTCTGCCTACAAAAACGTGCATTTGTATCAATGCAGAAATGAAGAGGATTGTAAATGATGGAGACGTTTGACGTGACATTGAGCTGAGAGTGCGCACAGGTGAGACTGTCACTTATTATAATTCACTCTTTCTTTTGTCTCAAACTGAATGGATTCTTAACCTTGAAAAGACCAGGACAGCCGATCTGAATCATCCTGCAATGTCCACCAAAGATTTCTGCGAACTGTAAGACTATGATTATTCACTCTTTTAATGTTGCACTCTCAGAGACAAAAAAAACAAGTACAAAAGCTGTCTCTGGGGCGGTAAAAGATGCATATTAGTACCTCAAAGGTACCGATTATTACCTAAAGCGAACATATTAGTACCTAAATAAGTAGTACCTTTCGAAAAGGACAGTTTTCTGACAATGTAGGATAGAGATAAGAAGCTGCTGCAAAAAAATAAATAAAGAGAAGCCTTTTAAATAAAAAGGACATTTACCAATGATACAAACATGAAAGCTTGAAAAAAAAAGTTATTAAAGAAAGTTACTAAAGAGAGAAAGGAAGGCAAGTCGCGCTGAACGCGCGCGCCTCTGGAGTGATTTATTTGGCAAATCAGGACACAATGAGCGCATTATGACGCTCTAATAGGAGAGAGTGTTTGGGGAGCCGCTAATTGTCTGTGATTGAGTTGCAGGCTGGGAGGGAGAGACCTGGGACGCGCGAGCGTCTGTCAGCCAATCATCCGCTAATCAGAGAGCTCAAATTAAAAGAGTGCGTGTTTGGAGTCGAGGACGGGATGATGGCGCAGAGCCGGAGTGATTGTGAACTTCACCAGTGCGCACAGTAATATCTGAGTCCTGCTTGCACCACACACTTTAATCATTCTGAAACTGTACTGCAGCCTCATCTATGTGAATGAGGTCTAGTGATTCAGTTTAAAAACATTACAACGACAGATATATGAACACGTATGAAGCCAGTGACGCATGTATTGTATGAGTATGGATGTGGTTTGTCAGATGCTGCAGTGAATGTTGTGCAGTAGGGGTCAGTGTTTCACTGCACACACACACACACACACACACACACACACACACTACAGTAGGCTAGTACATTTCAAATCAAATCTGTTCAGTCTGCACTCAATGAAATAATTCATCGCGACTAGCATAACAACTTAAAACAATTATATCTTTATTTTTATTTGTTTCCCCCCTAAATCTCAACTTTTAATGCACTCCATTAAAAACCTCACAAAATAACTCAAATTAAATTAGAAACTGACAGTATATTGACTGTGCTATTTCTTTAATACATTCGTGTTTTTAAATTATGCTTGGAAACATTTAAAAAAATGCACGTATGTGATATTTGATTCTGTATGAATTTCTTCAAGAATCTTTTAGTTACAAATATCCCATGTTCCATATTTAAATATGTAATTAACAGGAATATTTAAATATACATATGTACTGGCATAAATACATAATATAAATAAAAAAGAATACTAATATTCAACATTGAACATGATTAGATCTTGATTAAAGCATTAAAGGAAATTTACAGTAATAGTTTAAACATGAGCTGATAAGATGATATAGGCGTGTATTTATTTAAACATTTATTTCTGCTGTTTATTAGAATTTATTCGATTATTTCATGCATTCTCTTAATACAAGAGAAACGAATTGAATGCATGTATAGAAATGAGTGATTCATATCACAGTAAATGCAAATCTAAATGTGTGTGTTTGTAACTCTGTCCTGAGCTCAGCTCAGCTCAGCACGCGCCTCACGCTGATTGTTTTCATTGTAAATGTTTCTTCTGCAAACCTTGAGTGTTCAGTGTAAGAGTCTGAAGTGGCTCGGCCTCTAAATGGGATTAATTCTCAGAGAACGTCCTTTAGTCTTCCTCGTGTAATTTCATTTGCGGCTCCACACGGTGAATAACAAAACAGGGGCTCTCAAACGCCACAGCCTTCACATTACAAACACACGCCAGCCGTCATTTCATCGCCACTATACAGTCCTATTCAAACCAGAGGGGTCTTTTTTCTCTAAAACATTATTTACTCGTTGTTTTCAATATTTTTTGATAATGCATTGTTTAAAATACCCTTAAAACAACAACAACAACAAAATTACCTGGGATGCACCAGTTTGCAACACAAAGACTTGATTTCATTTAAAAGCTTTATTTGTTTCGTGGCACTGGCTGATTTGTTCATTTATTTGTTTTTGTTTTATGCCACACAAGAAAATAACCTGATATAAGTTCATCTCTCACACAGCTTTGCTTCCCATGTTCTTGTTTTTAAGATGTTTACTGGAAAAGGAGAGAGAAATCTGATGTTTTACACGCCAGAAAAACAAACCGAGAAAACGTGAAGGAAGCGACTGGTCAAGCACAGCTCTTCCTGAAGCTGTCACAGATGGGACGGGCCCCGGGCCCCTTCATCCCCCGTGGAGCCAAGCCCCCTGCCCGCTTTTTGATTTAATTACAGGGAAGAGGGCGCATCAATTTCATTGGCGGTGCAGAGAGATGACAGCACACAAATTGAAAGAAAAGGAGGAGGAGGAGGCCAGCGCTCATCATTAACACTGAACACAATCCTGTGTGCCATGTAACAAGATTAGAAACATTATTATCATTCTCCCATACACAGACAGACAGACAGACAGAAGTCATAAAGTCATAAAGTCATCATCTGCTTCTGATTTTGTCACATGAAAACATCACATACATACTGAGGCTTGCCTATAAATGTCATTTTACATTTCTTCATTGTGGATCTTTTTTTCAGAACTAACTTTTCAACACCAGGTTAATTGTTTTTGCATTTCAAAGTGTACCAGATGTTTTGTTTTAAAATGTGTTTGTGCATCTTTCCTTCAAATAAATGACACTGTGTAATCTAATGCAAAGACAGATATTTTTAAGCACTTTTATTTGAAATTCTTCGTCCATTTCTGTAACACTTTACTTTAAAGTATTTTTAATGTATTACTCGTGCCTTATAATCCATTGTATGATCTCATAAATAATAAATTATAGTACTTATCTGTTTATCGTTTAGAAAGTATAAAGCATTAAAACATTACAAACAACTAATAAGGAATCTGCAAATAGGCCTATTATAATGCATTTTAGCTTGAGTTACAATTATTTATGAAAAGATATAATGCATTATAACATAGATTATGAATACCTTCATATTGCATTACACAAAAAGGCTTCAGGTGAAATGAAACAAGCAACACCAGGCTTCAGGTACTTGAGGTCTTCTTTGATTTTGAACACACATAGAAATTCACTTCATTACAGAAGTCAGTCATGAGCTCAGACTCTGCTTATATGACTGGAAACAATTACCTGCAGTTATAAAATAGTTGAATCTAAAGAGTCAAATAAGTTCAAATATTGTTCAAAGGGACTATTTCATCTAGAAGAAGAAAAAAAGCACTATGTATGCTGTAGGGTTATTATAGTTAACGGTAACGAAACCTGAAAATTAAATAAATAAATAAATTTCTGTTGCTTGACATTAAAAAGTAATTAAAAAAGCTTTATATAAGAACTGCTAAAATGACAAAAACAACAAAATTACTAAAATTAAAAAAAATATTCAAAATATCAATAAAAAATATAATAGTGTCTCAATGTTATTAAAATAACAGTGGTATGCTCTTAATTTAGCAATATGCTCTCTGCTTATTATGCTTTAGATGAAAACTGATTGACCCTTCAATCTCATTTAAGTTTGGGGAACATCATAACATTTAGAGAAGTGAGGATGCATTTTATTTGTTCTTCCTTTGAATTTACTACAGAATCTTATAACATTTCAGTGAAGTGTCTAAACAGCTGAATCATACTATTTCCTAAAAGTCTCCTCATAAACCGGCCAATATCCAAAATGAAGGACATTTTGATTACCTAAGTGAAAGAAACACGCTGTTTACTTCTTCCAGACAAAGTCACAAGCTTTCTTTGACTTACTACTGACAGCTTTATTTGAGTACTGTGGCATAATAACTAGTTTTCAAAACGAAGGAGTGTGTGAGTAAAGGAGGAAATAAAGGGCATCAGACGTGTTCGCGCTCATCGGGTGTCACTGAAACACACACTGGGTTTGTGGGTATTTTCCTGATGTGACGCAGGTGAAACTCGGTACCGCTGCTGTGAAGGTGAGATTCACATGAAATTAGATATCTGAGCAAACAGACAGATGCATTTTACTCTGCCGAGGCAAAGGAAGTCAGATAATATACAGGAGCTGTAAATAAATAAATGCATAAATACATACATACAAGAAAATCAATTGCAATTAACAAAAAAAAAAAAATGTAAAAGCAGATATCTTAGCCAACAGACATGGAAATGATAACAGATCTAGATCTCAGATCTCAGAACTATTTGTTTACCAATAAAGCTTCATGAAACACATTTGGCTGCATTTCATTTTGTGACAGATTTTGTAACATGACAGCTGATGCTGCTGCTAACACACACTCATAATGAAAGAAGTCTCTTGTTCACCAAGCCTGCATTTATTTGATAAAAAATACTGTAAAAACTGTAATATTGTGGAATATTATTACAATTTAAAACAGCTGTTTTCTATGTGAATATCTGTTAAAGTGTAATTTATTTCTGTGATGCGCAGCTGTATTTTCAGCATCATTACTGCAGTCTTCAGTGTCACATGATCTTCAGAAATCATTCTAATATGCTGCTCAAGAAACATTTCTGATTATTATCAAATAATCAAATCAAATATAACATTATAAATGTCTTTACTGTCACTTTTGATCAGTTTAATGCATCCTAGATGAATTAAAGTAAGAATAAAAAAAAAAAGTTACTGATTTACTGACCCTAAAAATGTTAAGTGTATAGTGTGTATAAAACAAAGTTATCTACTAGGACACTATTCGTTTTCAATTAGTGGAAACGGTGTATTTTTATGTTATAGTTTAGATAGCTTATCAACATGCTAACAGTAAAACACGGATGAATCAAGTGTAATTCAGGAGCACTATGTGTAAGTGTAGAGCTTCATGTCGTTGTAGACAACTGTCTATGTAGGGAACAGAAGGCAAGCTCACTGTGGAACAGAGCTGTACTTCAGCTCAAGTCGTTAGTTTGCCATAAATACAATTCAATTAAAAATTGCTTTATTGGCATGACTGTAAAAAAAATACAATATTGCCAAAAATACTTTAGCACTTTCAAAAAGGCAAGCTATAACCAAAAACGGGTTTAGCTCATAATCTGACTGGGTGGAGTTGAATCTTTCGCATGAAGGCGCTGTATGCTGGCTCTCCGAACACGGGACGATCAGCTGTTGTGCGGTAGACAGTGACTCTAAACGCGCGCGGCGGTGAGTGGGCGAATATGGGACTGATCGGAGCGCGCTGCTGTACTGCCGCTTGGCTTTGATTTGTTGTGAAGACAGCAGCAGCGAGACGCGCCCGACTCCAGGCTTTTCCCAGCATGCCCGCGGAGAGTGACACTTCCTCTGCAGTCTGAAGACGTGCGCTGAAGCGCTGCCAGCAGATCTCAGCGCCGGCCTGGCATTCATCAGCAGCGAGCAGCTCCACCGCGGCGCCCAGCGGGAACACACTCCACCTGCGCCCGTCTGCACTCACGCTCGGCCCGTGTGAGTCACGCGCTGCCACGCTCTGGAGGTAATGATGTAATTGAGCGCTCATATACATCCGTGGTCACACAATATTGCTCATACATCAGTGGATGACTCCAATGGCCTCCCACTGTCCACAACAACAATCAAAGGCCCCATGACTTTTTATTGCATAAGGATTTTTTTATTTTATTTTTATCTTTTTTATTTCACAATTTCTGTAAGATGTTTTTGAGCTTGGCATAACTAGTAAAATAACTAGTAACTAGTCAAATGTGCAGTGAAAAAAAAAAAAAAAGATTTTTCAAAGTTGTGAATAATAATAATAATAATAATAATAATATTATTGGAGTATGTTTTACATGAAAATACTATTTCAGTTTTTATACTTTAAGAATTTAATGTTTAATTCAATGTGTTACTTGCTGATGCTTTTTAACTATTTGTGGAATTTCCTAGCAATTTCTGAGTGAAAATTGTTACACAATTCTACACCGTTTTTTTCAGTGTATATTCAGTATAAAAATGTCCATGAAATTTTACAATTTTATACATTTACATGACTTTTCCAGGTCTAGAAATCACTATTTTAATCAAATTAGGCTTCCTCGTATATCCAGGTTTCCTAGTAGAACCCTGGTTCTTCAAAGAGTTAAAACAAAAATACCTGTTGAATATATTCATTATTAGTTGTTTTGGAATATTTTAATGCTTGTTTTGTCTTATTTTAATCATTCGATTATTTAATGCATTCTCTTAATACAAGATAAACTTATTTTAATCTTAAAGTTTGCCGATGTCCCCTAGTGAGCCCTGGCCACCTCATTTCTTTGTTTAAATTATCTGACCAGCACAAAAACAAAATGCAAAAGTAATAACAGTTTTCAGACAGGTTTCCTGAACCCTTCCTCCGTCTGCCATTGGTCCATTGGTCACCCTCTCTGTGCACGCCACTGCATTGGTCAGTTTTCCTTCAATAAACTCCTCCTTTGCTTCTTACTGATAGTAAGGTAGTAGGTGTAGTAGTTATGTTTATGTATGGGGTAGGGGTTAATGGATCTAAAATATGGTCATGCAGAATAAGGCATTAATATGTGCTTTATAATTATAATTTACTTTATAATTTACTAATAAACAGCCAAAATGCTAGCAATATTCATGCTGATAAGCAACTAGCTAGTGTTAGTGAATAGATATAATCAGCAAGTCTAAATACAACTCTAGTTTTATATTTCTCTGTTGTTTTGAATGTGATTAACATTGTAGGTCTTTCCCTCACTAAAGCCGTTCTCTTCGCAGTCTTGCACTTTCAAATACTTTTTTGCTTCAAATTAAAGTTTGTAATATTGTGATTTTCCTTGTCGCTGCTTTGGTTCATGGCTTATAACACTTTAATGAAGACTTTTTTAAAATCCCAATGGGAAAAATACTTCCAGACTCAACGGCACTGAAAAAGCGGACGCACTAATGCACTCCGTCTAATAATGAAACACTTTCGGAGCCTGGCTGTGTTCATCCACATTCAGTTTGATTATATGAAAATAGCCAGTCAGAGATTCAGCTAAAATTCTCATTTTGGGGTGAACTATCCCTTCTGCTGCATCGCTCGGTCGGGAAGTTTTGCTCATAGTGTGATGACCACAGTTCTCTTGAAGTGATTGGAAGACAATCAAAGTGCTTTCCCACATCTGCCAGATTACCCAGAAGCCTCAACGAGAGCTCCTCTGCCTCCACAAACACTGGAGAAAGTCCCTGTAATTTTCCAATCACTTGTGTTTAGGGCACATCTCAGTGTCTCTGCGGCTGTTAGATCAGATGTGTTCGCTCTGTTCAGAGCTGGAGGGTCTGTTTGTTTGTAGACATCAATACAATCAGAATTTTTTGTTTGTTTGTTTTTTCTGTGTCGTCTTATTGACTCATAGCCACTGCCACACAAAATCAGTTTGTGCTCTAAAACAAGCACTGCCGATTTCCACAAATTTCAAATAGCTGTCACTTACAATCTCTATGCACGTCTGTACCCTTGTG